AGCGAGGATAATGGAATTGGGATTACTGATGAACCGAAGAATGAGCTCTCTGATTTGAAGCTCAATATCCTTAGGTTGGTCACCTACAGGCACCTAAACCAAACAGAGATGAGCAAGGAACTAATAATAAAAATCAACAGCTGTATCTCCCATACAATCCACAGAATACAGTATTAAAGAAATTAAAAATATACTATAGTGGTACTTGTAAGTTTGGCAATATATAGTCTCGAAATGTTAACTCCTGCTAAAATCAAGTTTACTTCTATACAAATGTTTCCTGGACATAATCTTATGTTAAGACTGGTCAGTATTAACTGACTAAAGACAAATTCATCCATTCATGCATCAAGTATTTCTTGACACACCACTGTTTCAAGTATTATGTTATGCATCAGACTGTTACAGTAGTGAATTTTTTAAAAGATCCAAATTTTTGTCTTCTTGAAGATTGTTTTAGTGAGAGAAGCAGAGAGTAAACACATTTACAGTATCCAGGTGATAGGGCTATCAAAACAAAGCAGAACAAGAGGCTAGTAGATGATTTGAGAGGATTACCATTTTAAACTATTGTTTAAAATATTCTATTCAGGGCCAGGGATTTAGCTCAGTGGTTCCACTGTCTGCCTCAAAAGTGAGTCTGTCCCAAGTTTGATCCCTGTACCACAAAAATAAATTCTATTCAAACTAAGGAGGAAAACCTCACCAAGACAATGACATTTGAGAGAAACAGCAGAAATTAAAGGCTACAAGAAAGAGGTACCACTGAGCAAGAAAATGGTGATGGCAGGTAAGTCAAGGATAGGCTGACTGGGGGCTTATTTTTAGAGAAACACAATATCTGGGAGAATTATATTCCAGGGTGAGGAAATAATAAGGGAAAGAGGCTGGAGCAGAAATTAGGAGAATAATAATAGGGGTATGTCAAGTAGATGCTTCAGATCTCTGCAAGAACGCAGGCTTTTACTCTGAGTGACACGGGAAGCCACTGGAGACTGTGATCCAAGAAATGATATCATCTAATTTTCACCACAATAGAATTACTGTGGCTCCTTAGTTAAGAATAGACAGTGAAGAAGACCTGTTGTTTACTAGTATTATTATTATTATTGCACTAATCTAGACGAAATGATAATGGCTAGCACAGGACAGCAGCGATGAATCTGTATGTCAAAGTGAAAATAACCAAATCCATGAGTAACAGCTGTTCCTCACCTTGGTCATTCCTGGCAAATCCACAAGTGTCAAATTGACAACGTTGGGTGAAAAAATCTTAAGATGAATTGGTTCAGGACTTACTCCCTAAAAATAAGTTTTAAAATATATTAAATATATTAAAATTTCAATGTAGTTTGAAATGCTAAAGTATAACTTACTTCATTACAAACATGATTTAGACTATGTATGCTCTAAGTATGAATTAAGCCATGATGATTAAGCCTTCAAATGTTCAACAATTGAAACCTAATGAAACACAAGAAGGCAGCCAGCCAAACAACAGGTTACAATCATACCCAACCGCATGCCATTAATACAGACCACTGATTTCCCCTCTATTTTTCACTCTTTTCTCTTGATTCTATGTATAAATACCATTTCTTACTTGTAAACTTTAGTGCCAAATGAAACAATTTATCCTTCATTATTCAAATTATAATGTTCTGGACTTCAGAGAGTGAGAAATAGGTAAGTTCTTAAATCAGTTTGGTTCCTGATTTTGTATACCAAAGGGCAAGACTGTGTACAGTAAAGGTTTCCTCGGACAATTTATTTGAATTTTTAAGTCTCTAAATTCAAACAGCAAGAATGTAAACAATGAGACCTCTGTATTTTCTCTTCTATGGACTAAGATTATTGCATAGACTCCATCTTCACCATTGGCCCTCTACAAGTTTTGGGATTGAGTTAGCTATGTGTAAAAGAACACGTCCGAGGTATTCATCTCTTGTCTTTGTACACAGTCTTCTTTACCCTTTAAATGTCTTCTCATCTGTTTATCCACCTTATATTTCTCTTCATTAACCTACTGAAAATTCTAATTTCCCAAGAAATTTTTTTGAAACATTCTTTACACTGAGTCCCTTAAACACTTACATTTGCTTATCAGATTACTCTGAACTACTTTTCTATTATACATGCTCTAGTGCTTCAATGTCATTGTCTGGTACAGCTTCTGCAGTGCTGGGATTACACCCAGCGCTTTTCATGTTTTAGATACTGTGGATGAAAACCTATTGGTTAAGTGAATTATATCCTTAGGATAAGGTAAATATCTTATAGGTATATAGACTTGATCTTTCATGACACTCAGTTTATGTTAACTGAAACTTTTCATTTTTCAATCACTATAATCTTATACTCTCTAAATTCTGGTAGAATGTAAAATTACTACCAACTGTTGAGTTGAGTAAATATATGGGAATTGTAGAAGAGACAATACAGATTGGTGTGGTGTGATTTAATAATGTCTCCAAAGGCAAAATTATCCAGTATAATCCAGTTTCTGGCCACTTTTTCTACCTCTTCTGCAGAATACGGTTATTAGAAATTCAGAAGTATGGCAGCAATAGCAGTAACTATGAAGTTACCAGCATAGAGTTTATTAAGGAACAAAACTCAAGTCAATCACTAAAACAAAGGCAAATGTCCAGAATAGACATAAAGACTTAACAAGTCTTCCAAAATGTCATCTCACAAGACCAGTACATGACAGATACAAGGGCTCAATAAATATGTGTGTTTTGGATATTAGCACTATTAGTGGCTAGGGTCCACCCATGGGATTAAATGTGTCTCTGGATAATACAAGAATGGATGTAAAAACAAAAAGGGTGCAGAGAGAAAAGTAATAGGAAAAGTGAGAAAAGAGAAAAAAGGAGAATTTCACTGAGGCAATGAGAGTGCTTGGTGTTATAACTAGCAGTCTCTCAGATACCTAATTTATTTTAAATTCTCATAATCTTAGAAAGTAAGAATCAGATGTTAACGTATTACTTTTCATTTACACAAAACAAAACCTACCTGATATTTCTCTTGCTTTCATAGTAAGTAAGCCTTACTCAGGAAAGAAAAGTATCTCTTTGAAATACAAACATCTGAGGTCAGGGAATTAGCTCAGTGCCACTGCACCTGCCTGGCAAGCACAAGGTCCTGAGTTCGATTCCCATACCAAAATAAAACAAAATATACATCTGTTCCCTCAGTTAAGAATGTAATCAGGGGGCAGGGATTTAGCTCAGTGGTTTTGCTGCCTGCTGCACAAGCGCAAGGACCCAAATTTGATACCAAAAAAAAAAAACAATGTAATCAATCTGTTAGGTCTCTCAGCCAGTTTTTCTGTGCTTCCCAGTAGACTGCTTATCACTTATATAAAACTGTTTTGTATGCATAATAAACTTTTAAAGTTGAAAAAAATGGAACATAATCCATCAGAAAAAGGTAACTCTACTATATCAGCACTAAACAGAATAATTATAATGTGGAATGTACATGATAAGATCAAGAATACACACATAAATGAGATATTTGACATATAAAAGCTCTAAGAGAAAGGGACTTTAAGGAGTTTTTATATTTGTGAAAATATCTGTGACAAAGACCAACATTGTGAATTTATAATGCTCCCTATACATTATATAGAGAAAACCATCAATGATATATTTACTAATATTTATACTTTGCAGGGCTAAAAAGATGCCTACCTTATTATTCCCTGAAATTCTTTCTGTTTCATTTTCAATTTCTTGTCGAATTTCATCAAAATCTGTGTAGAGCTAAAAAATATTGAAACATAAAGTATAATATTCAAAATAAGATCAAAGTTCTTATGGGAGGGGTGACTATGGCAGGTTTCAAGGGTGTCTATGGATTTGCTTCAGAGAATGAGCAAACACATTCTAATGTATACATACATTTTTCTAAGCAAAGGATTCAGTTTTTATGAGGTTTGTTTCAAAGTTGCCTGACCCCCACAACAGTTAAGAAGCTCCAAATTACAAAGAATCAAGTTCAATTTAAAGTTTATTTACCAAATAAGCTACTGTGGTTAGAAATGCTACTGAGAAACAATTTTATAAGGAATAGCTGCTTTAAAGTAACAACACATTAACAATGAAAATTACTACTTGTACAAAATATTATTTTCAACGTGTTATTTATTATATTCTTGTGTGATTACCTTATTTTTGGTGTGAAGAAATTTACCCCATTCTTCTGCTTCTACCCCTAGAAAAAAGAAAAACTAATTTATGGAAATTACTCTTATGGTTAGTTAGGAACTCAAAAAGCTAACACAATAAAGTGTTGTTTATATTTTGTGATTAACTACAAATTAACAAGTATTCTAAGATCTGCTAAATTATAATTTCACATTATAAAAACTGAATTGTGGGGGCCGGGGATTTAGCTCAGTGGTTCCAGTGCCTGCCTTGCAAGTGCAAGATCCTGAGTTCAATCACCAGTACAAAAAAAAGAACTGTGTATTTTAACAATACGATTCACTTCTGGTAGAGTTGCAGCCAGCACTTTCCAAATTTGAAATCTAGATTTTACAAATAAGATTGTTCATCACCTATTTTGGCTGTAATTATACTACAGTAAATGATACATTCCTTAAACATCTTATATATCAAAGCAGTTTATCTGATCAATTAAGTTAAGGCTAAGAAGAAAAATTAAGAATTGCACTCGGTAATGCAGACTGGGTAATTTCAAACAAAATTACAATCTGTGAATCAAAAAGCTAATTTTTCATGTAATGCAGAAAGCATATATAACATCTTTATCACTGAAGGTAAAAATTTGCAATATGTGAATCAAACAGGTAATTTTTCAGGTGTTTGTTAAATTTGTCTTCTTACTGGTTATCTATAAGGTCCCCATGTGCTGTTCCTTTACAGAACTCTCTCAATAACAGGGCACTAGCTGCTTTGTAAGGTAGACTTTTAAGATAATTTCTTCCAAAGGCTAAGTTTTCCCACAGATTTGAAGATAGAAAGAAATGAAATAAAGGAGGAAGATAATCCCAAAACAAAACTCTGGGGCCGGGGATTTAGCTCAGTGGTGCTGCCGTCTGCCTCAAAAGCAAAAGGTCCCGAGTTCAATCCCTGGTACCAAAAAACAAAACAAAACAAAACAAAACTCTGGTATATGCACCACTCTCCGTTAAGTTTCTAATCACCAGTCTTTTCCTCCTTGCACATGCTAAAAAAAAAAAAAAGGAAAATATATTCACTGGGTAGAGCCATCTAAAACTTGGAGAGCAAGCTTGTTCCCAAAGAAACTAGAAATCTTTAATTGTGGAAGGTCATCTAATTACTTTTCCCAAACACAGCTATTCTGTTTTGTAAAATTCAGAAAAAATTTAAAATATCTTAATGATTAAGTGCACTGAATAATGCATTATCAGCCACCTGAAATAAAAATGGCTATGTTCACATAAATATTTATCAGGAAAAAGGTTGACAATGTCTTGAGAAGAAAGAGTAAATAAAACTGGATCCTTTTTTTTTTTTTTTTTGGTACCGGGGATTGAACTCAGGTTCTTGCGCTTGTGAGGCAGACTGCAGAACCACTGAGCTAAATCCATGGCCCAACTCTTTTGTATTTTTTCTTTTTGGTACCGAGGATCAAATCAGGACTTGTGCTTGCCAGGCAGGTGCCAGAGCCACTGAGCTAAATCCCCAGCCCTAAAACTGGATCCCTTTTGCAAGTTAAAATGCTCACCTACTGGTAGCTTAGTACCTTCATCCAAGAAGTCGCACTGGAGACTGGAGTAATCTAGGTGAACAGAACTCAAAAAGGCAAGTACTACACACCAAAGGGGTGTTTCCAATTTACCTAATCATGAAAAAAGGCCTAGCTTCACAAGCACATTTTAAAAAAAATTAAAATAAAATAAATTACATTCACCAGCAAAAAAGCCTGTGTTTTGATGCAACACTAGAAAAGTAACAAGGACCACTAAAACCTGCAATCAATATGGAGAGGCAAATAAAACTGGAAAAAAAAATACATAAGCACACATGCAGGCATAATAGAAAAAGGGCCAAAAACAAATGGATAAAGGAAACCTTTAGAAAGGTGTCTTGAGTTTTTCCATGTAGCAGGGTCTGTAGTTAAAGAGAAACAGCATAGAATGATAAGTTTAGTGCTTATCCTAAAATTTTAAACCCTTTTAAAGAATCAAAACTTTTTAAAAAAATTAAAATCTTCTTAAAAATCAAATCAGATTATGTTTTTAGTAATATAAGCAAAGCATATTGTGTGCCATAACTAATTTTTACACTATTTTTTTTTTTTGGTACTGGGGATTGAACTTGGGACCTTGCGCTTGGCAAGGCAGGCGCAGGAACCACTGAGCTAAATCCCTGACCCACTAATTTTTAATATTTTAAATTTTTTGCATTAGAATTATCTCACCATTCAAAGATGTGCCTGAAATATTTGACAGTCTATTGTGGGAAAAGATAAATTATCTGATAAAAAAAAAGAATCTAGAGCCGGGGATTTAGCTCAGTGGTTCCTCCACCTGTCTCGCAAGCACAAGGACCCAAGTTCGATCCCTAGTACCAGAAAAAAAAAAAATCTACAAAATATACTAAGCACATCTTTCACTATCTTGAAAGAATGAGTAAGTATATACAAGTATTTGCGCTAGCAGCCAGGATTTGAGCTTTGTATTTTCCTTGAAATGTATGTTGAATTTAACAGAACACCACAAAAAGTTAACTGCTGACTTTCATGGACTCAATCCAAAAAGTGTCTACTACTTGTATCACAGCTCCCATTCTACCTTTATTCCTTTCACTCTTTACTGCCTTTTGGGGGAAACTAATGGCTTTTACAAATGGGTAACTCAACTAAGTGGGAGTAAAGATTCAAATTACACTAAGATTCTCAAGTATTATTCTAGAAAACATTTGTATTTTTAAAAGAAAACAAAACACTTGCTTTAGTTCAAAAACTTTCCCAAAAATAAACTCATAATTTTTAAATTTTATTGACACTGCTCGGAAGTATAACACAAAGCACAATTTTGGCCTCTAATCAGTTATGGCCCTTTGGGATTTTGTCTAGAAGGAAATCTAATAAAAGCTTGATTTATTTCTTATCAAGATATAACAAGTAATTGTGCAATTCAAAGTAAACCACCCCACTCTATATAGTTTGTTTTAAATAAGAATTTAACAGCAAAGTCTTTTACATTGGTAGAAGTGGAGGCAAGCTGAGAATACCATAAATATACATATTGATACCTCAATTATACCATGCAGTTGGCAGAATGATCTCTTGCTAAATAAATTTTCCTGATAATTAAATTATACATTACTAAACACTAAAATATTTTATTTCAGTCAGTCTTGATCTAAATGGATTACAGTCCTAATGTCATCTTAGGATGCACTGCTCTTAACATATTATTGATAACTTAGGCCTTTGTTACCTAACAAAGTCCTCAGAGGCTTTGTAAATTCCTGTACAAAATGGTCAGTGAGTAATTTTTGAAAGTTTTCTGTCTATTTATGTTTTCCTTCCATTCTCCTCTCTCACTGTCAAGCTGTCGTTCATATTCCACTAACTAAACTGTATGTTAATCTACCTTGTAGTTTTTAGTTTTTTCTGAGTTAAAATAATTTTATGATAAGCTGCAACTGCTTATCCCAAGGAGACAAAGCTGAAGAAAAAGCTAAAGAACTATCCTAGAATAAAACATGAAAACTCATATGCAAACTTATGAAATCTGTTTTGTGTACTGGGAAGCTGAGTTGTCATTTTAAGTGTGTGTGGGGTGGATACACACACAAAAATTAAATAAGCACTAAGCTTGGGAAAAATATACACATGGCTAAAGATATGCAGATTGATGACCCACCACAAAGAGGAGACATCAATAAAACATAACACATATACACAAGCAGAGATACCAGTGAGCAGACCTGTCTATACGGAAATGTATACCCTTTCCTAACAAGCAAAGCTTTGTCTAAGGCAACACTTCTCATCAGCTGCAAATAGTTTCTGAGAAACAGAACCTCATCTACCAAAGTGACTGAAGAAAATTAGAAAGTTTAAAAGATCTAATAGTTTCTTTTTTTGTAAATTTGATGAAATCAGTAAGGGTGAAATTAGCCATGAATGACTAAATTTAGAGTTCAGAATTTCAATAATAAAGAAATAGTACAGAAATGCAAAATGATAACATACCAAGAAGATACCTAATGTAACTAAGATTCCTATACATCCCTGACTATCCAAAAATATTTTGTTAACATCTACATCTTGCTTCAGTGATTAATGTTCTAGTCACAGTAGATGCACATGACAGGCTTGTTCCCCATTTTAAATAAAAACAAATCACAACGGCCCCTATGATTAAAAGAAATCAGATACAGAAATTAAAGTAACATCTGTTTTGTCAATACTGTCAGCCTGTCTTAAATCTGAACACAAGATATACAGTGAAACTGCACTGAAAGTATCTTTGCAGAATAGAAACAGACATGGTACTCAGCTACAAAAGGTTTTTAATCATTAGAGCTATTTTATAGACTTTTATAAGTAAAAAATAAAATTCTAAGCCAAATTTTGAACTAAACAGAAACATTAAATATATTACTCTCATCCAACACTTAAAATTTGTCTAAGTATAACAGGATACACATTTACTAAGCAACTTAAAAAGCTACTAATAGACACAGACAACGTTTCTTTGAATATTTTCACTTTAATTTTCTTTAAAAAACTCTACTGTATGGAACAATGCATATTTTCTAATTTTCATTCTCCACACTTAGTATTCACATAATCCATTACTTAAATAACTTTAGTTTAGCTGGCGACTAATCCTTGAACATGAAGGAGGAAAGGATCTTTTAAAGTGAAAATAGAATGTGTATGTGGAAAAGTAAAAATAACAACTTAAAATTTAAAACTCATGCTGTAAATACAATACTTGCTACACTCAGATTGAGGGACAAAGGAATAGCAGGCACATGGTGAGACCAGATAAGGAGAGGAAAGGTAACAATGCTAAGCTAAAAATCAGTCATTTTAATTTTACTTAAAATGAAAGCTTTCAACTAGAATCTAGATGACTTAAAAATTCTAAATCAATGTAAAAAATTAGGGGCTGAAGCAGGAGGATCACCATGAGTTTGAGGCCAGCCTAGGGTACACAGTAAATTCAAGGCCAGCCTGAACTATAGTGAGATCTCCCAAAAAAACTAAAAAGTAAAAAAACCAAAATCCATCAGTGGTTAAAACTGGGAAACTGGACAAGAAGGGGAACTTTAACTCAGTCCAAAAGATACACATTTTTTTCTTTAAAATAACTGGTAACTATTTACTAAGTGTCTCTCTGGACCTTCCACTAAATAGCATTAACAGCAGTTTACTAAACTGAATTATTCAAAAGGGAATATTCCTAACAACTTTATTCATGGCCTTTCAATAAAAGAAAAATTACTTTTTTGGGGATGCATACTACTCTTCACAGGATTTGATTTTGCTACAGTCACTAATTCCTCATTGTCTAATCTTCCTTTAAAATAGACCAAACATTTATAACAGTAGTTTAAAATGATTCTTATCCCCAGTTCTGAAATTTACCATTTTCTTCTCCTGTTGTTTTGCGTTTGTCTTCTGCTGAGACATGGACCAGCTGCAGAATCAGAGGTCTCCGAGTGATGATACCAGTACCTCTGGGAAGCAGGTCCCTCCCCACCAGGCTTTCTAGCACTGAGCTCT